TTGGTCTATTTTTCCTTGATAATCATTATTTTTTATTCTCATTTGAAGTTTGCTTTTCTGGCAATATAGGTCGCTAAGGATCCTGTTTTTGCCAGAGACGGTGCAGATGTTTATGTGGAGTCTAACATCAGCTTTACGCAAGTGAGAATCGAGTAGTATTAACCTGTCAATTGCCTTTGTTTCTGGCTCGCTTGTTGGTTACTTAAAAATGATATTCCGATGAACCTGAAGCTGCGCCTTACTTTTAGTTTTACATATAATTATTAATTTATTAATCTATTTCATATTCACATACAGTCTAAATTTGCTAAATTGATGATGTGCTTCTCCTTTTACTGTTGGACAACTTGGAAATGCTGCCAAATACAGTTGTCATAATGAAAAGTTCTGTAAAGCATACTCATATTACATGCATATCATATAGAATGAAGAATGTGTTGAAACTTGTCCCACCCCCCATCCCCTTTTTACCCACTTTCCTCCAGCCTGAGGCAATGGATTTACAATCTAAGTAAGGAATACGGCTTTGTTAAGTTAGCTGTTCTTTCTTAGATTTATATCCCATTCCTTGAACTTTTGCGTAAGGTCTGGTGTACATACCGTCTTTGGCACCTTATTGATCTGGGTTTCTGTTGATCAAACCATGCAGCAGTTTTATTGATAGAATAAAGGTTTAATTTCTTACAGGCTATTCTTGGTGGTGAAGTTGAGGTCCCTACTTTATTAGGGAAGACGCTAGTAAAAGTAAGAGTATGATTTATTTTGCCACTATTTTCTTTTGTTCTGCTGAAATTGTATTGACACAGAAAATTAGCATAACCCTTTTCCTTTCTTTTCGTTGGAGAATAAATTTTTCATAGATTGCGATACAAAATAAAGGCATACTCCTACTAGTAAATGCAAAAATCCATTCCAGAACTTTTTTGCTTTGAATCTTTACTACAAACTTTGTGTACTTTGTTTATAGTTTTTTAATACTTGAAAAACAAGGGAGTGTGAATCGACTCCGATAACCAAAAGAGGATGTAAATCTTGCCCCTGAAGAATGGCATATTACTAAACAGTTGGGGAAAGAAATTTCACTTTTTAAGACTTCTTTCCTCGGAATTTAATTGTTATCTAACAAAATAAACTTTTGGTTCAGGCAAGAATGGCCCCCATAATGCTAATAGTACATGCAAGAGATTTAAAATCTTGTATGGATGTGTTGCTTTGTTCCGGTTCTCTGTTGCATATGAAGAGAATGTAATGTTGCGGTAAAACATTTCTGGGGACTTCTTCTTGAATCCCAAAATACCTTCCAGGAAAAAGACTAATCGGGTTTCTAATTTCAAAATTCGAGATTGACCACTTTTGTTTAATTGCACTGCCCATATTTATTTCAAATTGTGTTCGTTTTCTTCCTTTGTGTTTATTCAATAAATTTTAGATTCATGATCATGGTGGGGAAAGTTATCGTGACCTGACTGGCGATGAACAAATCATGGCTTCGAACTTGCCACGAAATAATTTCACATTTCTGCTAGTCGTGACCTCATCCTTTCTGTTGTGCAACTATGTTCCTTGCAGATACCTAAGGGTGTTCAACCAGGGCAGCTTCTGATTTTAAGAGGCAAAGGTATGAATTTATAATGAATAGTACCTTCTATCAAGGGCGATTGTCGGCAGGCGTACCTTTCTTTCTATCACCCACTGCTTGAAATGTACAACTAATGCTAGTTATTGTTGCAGGACTTCCGAAGCATGGTTTTCTTGTAGACCATGGAGATCAGTTTGTGCGCTTCCGTGTTAACTTCCCCACGTAGGTTTCCAGTATTAGCATCTTGAGAAATATGTTGCTCAGTGCTTGATTATTACTATAGCTTTAACGTTTGAGTCATATTCAAGTGTGAGAACAAGCAAAGTATCACAATGAATTTGTCTTCAGTTGATGTTTTCTGTGCCATTATAAATCGGCATTTGTATTCAAATACTCACCATTTTCCCATTTGGTCTTATTTATGCGTGAGCATTAGCACGCTTTCAGTGTAGTTGCATCATCTCACTTCTGATCTGCTCATCCTTTTCTAGTGTAATTAATGAACGACAACGAGCCATTCTAGAAGAACTTGCCAAGGAGGAAATAAAGGAGGGATACAATTCACAGATCGAAGGAAATTGGTATGTTCCCTCTATAAATTAGCTTTCGAGATATTGTACACGTTTTTGTTGCCTTATGCCAACGTAAAATTTGACAGTTGCATGGCTAATCGGATGGAGGCATATCACGAGTAGTGGCGTGCTGCTGTTGGCACATAAAGTTTGCCCGTCCATTGGCATCGTTGAAAATCTTGTCTAGCATGCTAGCTTAATTGATTTTGTTTAATACTACCTCTGGTCCTTAATATAAGAGCTTGTTTGACTTTTAATTTGGTCATAAATATAAGATCTCAATCCATTTTATCTCTTATATTTATCTATTTTTTCTAAGTTAGTCCTTGTAATAGTTGCACATATTAAATATTTTATCAAAGAACACTTGATTAGTAAAGGTATTTTAGGAGAGACAACACCTATTTATTACAAACAACTAACTTAACTAATTTTCTTAATATACTCAAGTTAGTCAACTAGTCTTACATTAAGGACCAGAGGTAGTAGCATTTATCGTTGCCTATGATTAAAATTTTGCTTGAGTGGCATCCGATTGTGATGAAAATGCAAAAATGGATAACAGGCTTCATCAGCAGCTATCTACTGGTTGAACTTACAGGTGGCAGCAAATTCTCGGATACGTGAGGGGTCCATGGTTTATGTTGGAACTATCCGTGCTGATGTTAATTCTCCTCTTCATCAATAAATTGTTGAGCTGATAACTTGTTCAAAAATTATTGCAATGCTCCTTACCAGGGGAAAAGAGCGATTGTTGCTTTCTCCCTCGTTACGGATTGTGTTAGTGAAAGGTACCAAAATCTTTTTTTTTTTCCTTTCCTTTTTTGCATATTTTCAATTCTCGTATTAAATTATCAACTAGATAATCAGGAGGCTGAAAGCTCTTGGTCGTGTTGGCTACTCTGACTGATCATTATTGGAAATCTGTTATCTTTACGTGACATAGTAATTGGTTTGCCTGCAGATGTTAATTTTTGAACAAGTATCTTGACTCTTGTGCTAATTGTGCGCTTGTTTATTGCAAACAGGGCTAGATAGAATGAACAAACTGGGATAAAAGCTATTGGCAGAATAGTTCTATTTGTTGGCGTTCAGTCCTTCAGACAGCGTCTTCAATGAAATAGGTTTAACTTCATACTTTTCGAGGATCCATCTGCTGATTTTGTTCACAGGTTGAGGATATCATGGAATTCATTCTTAACATCATTACATTTACGAGCCCCACTCGTAGTTTTCTTTAAGAATAAATGCTTGTAATGCTAATTATGTTATGAAATTTTTTTGAAAATCATTTCTGTAAATGTGCAACGAGCTGTTCTCCCGCTAACCACAGATGCGCTTTATATGGTTATGCTCATATGGCGAATCAGATCGGCGGAATGCATAGTCCAGGATGATATATTAAAAAGATATATTGTAATATTACATAAAACAAAATTAGAAAGATAAAGGAAGTTTCATCCAAGTTATGGCAGCGAACGTTCAACACGCAACTGGAACGCGTGGCCGGTGAGGTGATAAGATGCCAAGCATCGTTACGGATTGTGTTAGCGAATCAGCTCTTTTTACTTTCACTTTCATGTGTTTTTAATTATGTCTTTTTATTTTTTTTTAATCAGGTCCTTATAGTTTCACTTATTTTTAATTAGGTGTTTTGTAGTTTTTGAAAAATTATTTATTAACTTTATTCTTTAAAATTAATTTTATTTTTAAATTAATAATTATATAATTGGACAAAATAATTAATATAATCATTTAGTAATTAATAAATAATCCGAATAATAATTATACTTAAATATAAATTATTTATAATCATATTTTAATTTTAGATAAATTTATTATTATAATTTGAATTTTATAATTATAAAAATTCGAATTGAAAATAAATAATATATTTGTTTAACTAAAAATTTAAAAGAACATTAACATAAGATTGTTACAATAATTTATTATTTTTAAAATGTTATTATTTGTAAAATAAAAATAAAACTACAAGAACCTAATTAAAAACAAAGTAAAACAATAAGGACCTGATAAAAAGAAAAAAATTATAAGGACTTGATTAAAAATATATGAAAGTAAAAGGATCTGATAAAAAGAAAAAAATTTATAAGGACTTAATTAAAAATCAGATGAAACTATAAGGACCTAGAGATTAATTATCCCATAATAAAAAAAGGCTTACAGTTCATTAATGTTTTTATGAGTTGTATTATGATTTTTTATAAATTATTCTAAAATTTTTAATTAAAATATGATAAATATTCTATAATAGTCGTATGAGTGTATGACGTTTGTATGATTTAATTAAAAGGCCATGCAATTGTATATGAAATTCATAGATAGGATGAAAATTAGATATTTGTTATACTCTATCTTGTAAGTTTGATAATTTCTGTATTATGTATATTTGATATAAAATGTGTTAATAACTCTGTTATTCATGCGCCATTAATGGCAATACAACGTATAATATTGAACTTCATAAAAAATACAGGTAAAAGTATATATAAACTTTTTCTTTGATAAATTAAACATGCAAACAAAAAGAGTATTAATTGCACCATAACAAACTAGAATTACACGCCACATGTTGATGGCAAAAGAGAACATACACAGGGCGTAAATCATGATAACCATGAGTCCAGTCAGAGCAATAACACAAATTGAGTCTTAATCAGGTCAAACAACGAAGTGTAATTACAAATTGAAAAATAAATACATTACGACGTGAAGCGTCTTATCGGCAGACACGTGCACTCGCGCCCTTGAACTTCAATTCACGAAGCCACTAGTTTTCTCAAAAATACTGATGAAGCAAATGGACTGATGGCCGCGAAGATTACGATTCACGTGTAGGATGGATGCCCAGACTGATGAGATGCGGCCTCACCGGCAGGAACCGTGAGGCGCTTCTTTTTCTTTTTGGCCAAGCAGATGAGACCAACTAAGAGGAATGCGATGAAGAAAGCACCGCCTAGAGAAGTGCACAATGCGATCAACAAGGTGTGGTTGTGACCCTGTCCTCCTGAAGGTGGCGCTACGATGTCCGAGGACGGGGGCACCGCCTTCAACGGTGGTGGTGCATATCCTCCAAACACAGGAGGTGACGGTGCTGGTGAAGGGGAGTGAGGACCTCTTTGTGGCTTTGGTGGTTTAGAAGGACCTTGTGAAGGTGCAGGAGTCAAGTTATGCTTGGGCGGAGGTGCATGAAACAGTGATCTAGGAGATGGAGAATAAGAGCCAGGTGCAGTTGTCTTTTGAGCTGTTGGAGCATTATTCGGTGATGATGGCTGAGCGGATGGTGCCATCCGCGACGGACCATTGTTATTACCTGGTGGTGGTGCCGCTGCGGTGGAGGTTGGTGGCATGGCAGAGGGTGGCACTTGAGATGGGCCGTTATTAGTTGGTGGTGTACTCTTAACGGGAGTCACTGAAGGAGTTGGTGGCGAAGGGGAAACGGAAGGTGGCGGTGAAGACGGAGCATGGTTAGCAGGCGGCGGCGGCGGCGGCTGACCAGAAGGTAACACGGGAGACGGACCATTATTGGTAGTTGGCGGGGGTGAATGAAAGGATGGTGGCACAAGGGACGGACCATTAATGATGGCTGGTGGAGGCGGCGCTGCTACTGGGGATGGCGGCGACCAGTTTGGATGGTCATACTGATTAAGCGGTGGTGGTGGAGAGTGATAGGGGTAGGCCATTTTGCCAAAAGAAAGAAGAGGGGGGGGGGGACAAAAAGAACAGATAACAAATGTGGATGCCAAAGGTCCAGTTCATAATCTAGCATGATTTATATATAATCATGGTAGGTACATGCTCTGTATTTGTTTACTCCCACATCGCTAAATTTTTCTTGTTTCTTTTTGGTTTTGATAACGTGACGCTGGGCTTCTGAGTGGCATTGGACAGCATGGGGCAGCCTATTTTATAATACAGGTTGCTAGCGCCATCATCGGGCATATGATATATTCATGCTTGCTTCTCTCATCTCCGTCCTGTGCCTCTCTTCATGTTAATAAACCTACCTATTTAACATCAATACAGACTATAAAACATGTCATTAAGTGTTATATTATTTGAGACACAAATGTTTACTATGACTTCCAATAAATCTCGTGCAGTTTTTAATTCTTTCAACGTTTTTTTAACGTATTTTAATTTTATGCCTTCACAAGGTTTTACATGCATTTTTAATATCATCGCGCTAATACTTTTCAAATTATAAATTTTATCGCATTTATCTTTTAGATATTTATTTTTACTTTTTACCTTTGAACTCTGTATATCTTATTTTAATTTTACTACTGTTTTTCCTCCTTTAAATTATTTTGCGAAACTTTTTATATATTATAGTTTTCATTAATATTTCTCAAAATAATTGACACAAAAGTAGAAAAATAATAATTTAATTATTACAAGTTGAGTCATGATTTGGATGTGGTCTGACAATTAAAAGCCATTGCCTCAACCACCTTAATTTTTATTCTAATTTTGAAGACATCGGTTATTGTCTATTTAATTAATTAATGTTTTTGTACATTTTAAAATTACCTAAATGTTGAGAAACCAGTATAATATTAAAAAGATTTATAAATATAAAAAGGTTAATCGAAACTTTGGTCCTTTAAATTTGTTCTAATTTTGATTTTAATCCATCAAATTTCAAATCATAGGTTTTACTCCCTCAAATTTTTTTCATTTAAAATATTAGTCCCTATGATCTAATAAAAACTTAGACAATTTTGCCCTTGAGGGACCAAAACATATAGTTTAAAACTTGAGAAACCAAAACCAAAATGAGTACAAACTTAAAGGACCAAAAATTATATTAATCCAAATATAAAGAAAGACACGTAGGCAGGTTACATAGGGTTAATACTAGTCTTTATAATTTGATAAAATTTTAATTTTAATTCCTATCATGGTTTTTTGTTCCTAAAATTTCATAAGAAATTGACTTGAGTTTAGCAGTGTTAATTTTTAATCAACACTATTCTTAAGTATATAGAACAGAATTATCGGGGAAAAAAGACCAAATTTAGAATTTTTTATGAGATTATATAAACTAAAAAATACTATTTAGAATTATAAAGATTAACATTAAAATTTGATCAAAGTATAAAATCAACAATAATATTGACAAAAAAAACCAACAAACACAAGGAACTGAATTAAGTATAACAAGAAAAAAGACAAGTGGAAATAAAAAGAAAAAAATTCTTCTACAGGCTGTAACGGAATAAAGCATTAAGGGTGTATTTGGCTGAAACCAAACCATGGTTTGGAGAATAGCTTCTGAAGAATAGATTCTGAAAAAAATAGATTTTAGGAAGAATAGATTTTGTGAAAAAGTAATTTTGAGAAGTGTGAGTGTTTGGATAGTTGTTATTAGAAGTACTTTATATATATACAAATTGGCATAAATTAATATGATAATTATAGAAAAAATATATTTTATGATATATTTTAATTTGAAGGAATAAAATAGTTAATAATATCTTTTTTATTAACATATATTAATAATATATAAGATAATATAATTAATAATTAATTAATATGTATATATTTATAAGATATAAGATTAAATATATTTATAAAAAATATGTTTATAAAAAAAACAATAAGATACATATCCTATAGGCTCTCACACTCTCCCCTTTTTTCTCCAAAAGTAAAAAATTTATGCTTTTCTCAAAACCATGGTTTTGGAGTCAAAACCATGGTTTTGAACCCAAACCATGGTTTTGATTTTTTTAAGGGTGTTTGGCTAATATTTTTCTCAAACCATAGTTTGGGGTGCTTGCCAAACACACCCTCTATATATGAATGTACTAGCCCGAGCTGGAACTGATCGCCGTTGAAAGTTACGTGGCGGCTGACAAACACGTGATTATATTGCTCATTGTGGTATTTTTTATAAATTTAAATTTAAACTTATCTTAATATTTAATGTATTTTTGTCAATATTACTCTTAATTACTTTTTTGTCATATTTTTTCACGCATTGTCTTTAATTATTTTTTTCATTTATTATAATGATATATTTGAAAACAAAATTTAATTAATTCTTTATTACTCACAAATTTTTAGTTATTTAAAGTTTAATACTAATATACTCTTTCGGTCTTAAATATAAGATCCTTATACTAATATGTATAAGGATCTTATATTTAAGATCGGAAGAGTATTAGCAGTAATACATTGCCCCTGACAGCCTAAAGCACGTGATTATATTGCTGATTACTGATTAGCCCACGTGATTTTAGAATCTGAGGACTATTATAAGGTTGCTATCTATTCCTAGCAATAATAACAACGACACCTTGGCCCGAAAAAGCGACACGGTATGGGGGTATTTTCATTTTGCGGGGACGCACAACAGTACAAAAAAACGCGTGATATGTGTGAGTGTCCATATATTATAGGCAAAGGGCGAATCCTTTAAAATTAATTCAGGAGGAGTGTGGTATTTTTTATAAATTTAAATTTAAACTTATCTTAGTACTCAATATATTTTTGTCAATATTACTTTTAATTTTTTTTTGTCATATTTTTTCACGCATTGTCTTTAATTATTTTTTTCATTTATTATAATGATATATTCGAAAACAAAATTTAATTAATTCTTTATTACTCACACATTTTTAGTTATTTAAAGTTTATAATATTAATATATTAACAGTAATACATTGCGCCCCTGACAGCCTAAGACTCGTAGTCTAATGGTCATCTTTGTTTTTTCTTAATTAAAAAATAAAAAAACCCGCATAAATCAAAATCCCAGTTTCCGGGCATATGATTGATGCCTTCTTTCATTAAATTAACCGCATCCCAGCTGTCACTCTTCAAATAAACTTGGCTATCTGTCCCCTGTCTCATGCTCGTCATTTTTTTTTTTTTAAAGCAGAGACAAAATGACATTTATAATATAAATATTTACAAGTTACAAACACTTAACAATTCTATTATAGCATAATTAAAATTAAGAAGATTCAGAAAAAACATTGATACTAGATGAGAAATTATGGGTAAGAGCAAGAATTTCTTGCCACGTGATATTAAGAAGAGAGACGTCAATGGAAGGAATCTGGCAAAAAAAAAAAATCCTTTTTCAACACAATAAACCTAAATAGAGTCGATATCTATAGGTTGGGGTTGTGGATCTATGATAGGGCAGCCGGCAGACATTTACAGTGAAGAGTAGAACTTGTAGAAACTTGAGTATGCCATGGGAATTTTTTAAACGGTGTCCCCTCATGGCAAATAATATCATGACAATAATGTGTGCTCATTGTTTTATGTTTAAATAGCAGCACATCCCAATTATTTTTGTCCAAACTCAAACAAGAGTGTTTAAGGATGGGACTCTGATTAGACGAGCAGGAAGATCAAAAGTTATTACTGAGAAAGAAATTATATTTCTTGATTTCCTGTATCACAGCAAGAGGATGATTCCCCCCCCCCTCATGAAGCATTCTGTTTCTTTTCCTTGAGATGATATTGAGTAAGCATATTAGTCTATGAGTGAGATAATTCAAACCTTTCTTGTTTAATTTCATCAGTGAAGAAATAAACCAATTCCTAAATTCTATAAAAGAAGTGGGAATTTTAATAGAAAAACATCTTAACCAACTAGCTCCAGAAAAAAGACAAAAAATAAGCTGATGATCTGAAGTCTTTTTAAGTCACAACCAATATACGTAAGTGTTGAGGTAGTGGTTCTTGAGAATTAGAGGTGGTAATGCGGGCTGGTGGTGCGGATACGGGCCAGCCCACAGCGGTGCTGGCTGAAGTAGCCCGCACCTTGGTGGGCTGGCAACCCACCTATATATTCTTTTTTTTAAAAAAATAAAAACTATTATTATTAATATAGGTTGAGTTTAATTTGAAATGTTAAAATTAGGTTTCGAATCTTGAATTTGAGTAGTGAGTTATGATAAAATAAAGTGAAGATTAATTTATAATTTAAGAATATATTTTTAAAAACTAATATATTTTTTTATAAATAATTAATTTAACTAATTTTTTATTCAAAGTAATTTAGTTTTCTTATCCAAATTAATTAAGTAGATATTTTATGTATAAATGTATAAGTATCACATTTTTATTTAATTTTATAAAGGCTTTTATAGTGACACAACAAATAAATGAAAAATAAAAGATGGACGATGATTTTCGTATAACTACACACAGAATCACAAATATATAAAGTGTTTAATTACTTATGCAATGATATGAAAGAGGCAATGTTTAATTGTTCATGTAGAATTTGAGGGTCAAAATATTTTAACTATATTGAAAATTATATGAAAAATTAAAAAAAAAATAAAAAAAGCAGGCCTGCCCGCCAACCTGCGGGTTAGCCCGCGACGCAGCGGGCTCAAAACGGTGCGGGTTGGCATATTGCCAACCCGAGCCCGCCTTTTTTTTACGGGCTGGCGGGCTGGGCCCGTACCAGCTCTATTGAGAATATCAGTTGCGAGTAGAGTTTATACGTGAGTTTTCAAATAAAAAACAGCTGTTTATATGACATATTTAATTTCCAAAGGAGGTTCCAAAATTCTACAGCTGCTGTGAAAACAATGTCTGAGGAAGCCCATAAAAGTTTGACGCTGACCAAGTAGGCCTCAAAAGAATTTCCATTCCAAGTGAGTTTATCAGGAAAATCAAAATGGAGACTAGTAATTTAAGAATTTGCTTA